AAAAAAAAAAGGGGTGGGATGCTTGTAATGACATATTGACCTTTTATGGCCTCATACCCGTATTAGGTAAATGTCATCTTTTAGATTGTAAGCCCTCAGGGGCAGGGCCCTCCTTACCATCTTGTCTTAAATTGTATTGTGACTGTAATGTCTTCCTTATATTGTAAAGCGCTGTGCAAACTATTGGCGCTATATAAATCCTGTATTATAATAATAATTTGTTAAATATAGGCATGTTGCCGTATAAGGTCAATGATGTCACTGCATTCCGACCCTTTGCTTATGTCAAGCTGAAGGCGGGGGAATTCCCCACCAGCAGCTGATTGGGTGGCATGGAAGTAGCTTCCTTCTGCATTCAGGAGAGCTCCATCCTGGTTCAAACTGACACATTCCAAATGCCATTGATTCTAAACCTACAGATAGGAACCAACTTCTCAGGTTTGACAGCTTCAACTCCTCACATGCGTTTCAGATGGTGACACATAGCCAGTTTTCGGGAATTAAGAGGAATGACAGTGATAGAGACAGATTTGAATTGAGATTAAGAGAGATGATGAAAAAAACTTAGAGAGAGGATATCCGGAAGATCTCATGGAAGCTAAAATAGATATTAACATATCAAAGAAGAGTTAAATCTTAGAGGATCCTCTTCTCATCTCAGTACCATCCACATAGCGGGAAGGTTTGGCATTGGTGTTTTATAACATAAGCATATCCAAAAATTCCAGGATTACAAGATATACCAGTGCCAACCCTCGGGCACAATGACTAAGAGGGATTGGCTAGTTAGGTCAGAGTTCAGAACCTTGAAAGAGGATATGAAACATTCCTTTCTGAGTCCTAAACACACACGTGCCTACCAATGTTTGACATGCATACAATGCTCTTTGATAAGACAAGAACTTTGTACACCCCACAACTGGGGTTAATTGCTCAAACAACACTATACATGCCAAACATCTTTGTCATTTATGCTCTAGTATGTCCATGGAAATGTATCTATCTAGGATGGCCTACCCAAAAACTTAAAGGGTTATTAAACCCTCCGGTGTTATTACATTTATCTACTGCTAGCAAGCAGTAGCTTTATGCAAAAAGTGTATAAAAAAACCCCTTTAAAAGCGGTTTAAACTTACCTGTGTCTTCCCCGCGCGCTCCCGTCAGAAAATGTGAACATTCTTGGTGCGGCCGCAAAGCATCTTGAGGCGGGCGCATGCGCAGTTCAGATGTTCGGCCGGGAGAGAAGGAGAGACACAAGGTAAGTCTATGGACACGTGCACCACCATGCAGACACCGTGGCACAGGAAGTGACAGCAAGCACAGAGGAGTCAGCGCTGGATGGGAGACCCGCCGCAGCGCTGGAGGGACAGATGAAAACGACAGGAAAGAAGAAGATCGGATTAAGAGACATCATTTAAAGGTAAGTGTTTTAATTAACATTGGGGGAGGGAAACAAATATTTGACTTTAATGTCACTTTAAAGTGACATTAAACCCTCAGATTTTTTAAAATAAAACAGTACTGTAATCTGCGCCTTACTGTAATCCATTGTAGTTTCCCTTCTCTTTGCTGCTCTTCCTTTTAAATCTGTATCTGTTCTCATGCTGGGCAGAACTTCTGTTTTGCAGCAGACTGCCTTGTCTCAGGAATGGATACACAGTGTCTGTGTATAGGTTTGTATAGGTTTGTAACCTGAGCCAGCACTACAGGAAGAGGCCCTGAGCTGCAAAGGGAAGTTCTCCCCAAGCATGAGAAGATATGAGGATTTAAAAGGAAGAGCAGCAAAGAGAAGGGAAACTACCATGGATTACAGTAAGGCGCACATTACAGTATTGGTTTATGTTAAAAAATCTGAGGGTTTAATGTCACTTTAAGGATCGAGTCACGCAGCAACGTATGTCCATGCAAACATATCTATTATGCAGGGAAAACTACCGAAAAAGTAAAGGATCAGGTCACGTAGCGCCATCAATCAATCTGCAAGCAAGTACATGAAGAATGAGGTAATTCAGGGGTAGGCAACCGCAGCATTTGAGATGCTTGGGAACTACAAGTCCTTTGAGGCATTGCAAGACTCACAGCAGCATTACCAGTCCAGAAGTGAGGGCTTGACCCACAAATAAATGATACCCTTCTCGCTGTGCCAAACGGTTTAGTTTGTTACTTTTTAGTCTTTTTTTTTAGTTTTTAGTCTTTTTAGCCCGTTATTTAGATTACTTTAGGCTTTTCTGGTTCACATACTAAAGAAGATGACAGTACAAATCTAAAGGTCCCCACACACCTTACGATAACGGCGGGGAAATCCCGCGATCGTACGATTATCGTAAGGTGTGTGGAAGACGTGCGACCTCTACTACTGTAAGGTCACACGACTTTAAATTTACGAACATGTTTCAAAACCCGCCGAGCATCGTACGATGTTCGGCGGGTGTGTAGCATGTTTGCGAGATAAAAGCCGGACGGGCCGGTGTGCGCAAGCGCACACTGCTCGTTCGGCATTGCCGTCATCGGAAGCCCGCCCCTCAGGGGGCGTGGCTTGCGATCATCGCAAGTACGATCTGCCTATGCAAGATGGGCAGATCGTACGTTTTTTGACAAAAGTCTTGTATTGGTTGTAAGGTGTGTGCCCAGCCTTAGAAATCCCAGCACTACCAGTCCATAAATGAGTGACTGACCCCCAATTAAATGATCCATTCTGGCAGTGCTACAGGATATAGATTATTTGTAGTCAGTCCTTTAGGGCCGTTCAAACTATAGTATTGTAATAAAGGTGCGATTAGTCCACACTATCGCACAGCACAGTGTACACCATGCTTGTGCATTGGTGCATTGCCATAATTCTGAAATGATGCAAAGGGAAGTCTGTGAAGGTTCTCATTCCTCCAGGTCCTGGTATATCTGTAAAAAATAAGTCAAGGCAACTGGACTCGCTGTATTTTTCTGTATTCTGAATTGAGAAAGCTGGTCGGATGTCCAGTGAAAAGTCTTCAAGAAAAATACAGCGAGTCCAGTTGCCTTGACTTATTTTTTACAGATATGATGCAAAAGGAAGGCTTTTGTTTGGTCACTTTCAGAAGATGGCTGCTCAGCCCGCTGGCACATGTCTCTTCCTTGCTGGATGCCTGACCCACACAGCAGCGCAGTCACCTGCAGCTCCCAGGGTGCATCTGTGCAGGCTGCTTTATATTGGGGCTGTGGAGGGTGATGGGAGGAGGAGGTCAGGTCGTCTGACGTCATTCCAAGCTTGCTGTCCGGCAGCAAAGGACATGGGTGCAGGGGTAGATGGAAGGCAGGTCTCAGCCAGGTGGCAGCTGTCAATCAAGTTGGTGACTTATGGAACACTAATCCTATCAGAATTGATAGGAAAGACGTAGCTGGGTGCCCCAGGGCATGGAAGGATGGTGCAAACAGGCAGGCATGTCAGACAGCAAATGACAGGTACAATTTCAGCTAGAAATGAAGGACCCCCCAGGACCGTTTTACTGCATTTTTTGCCTACATACTATGGGCCCATTGGGGGAATCCTGTATTCCCCCGGGGGCCATTCTGCCCCTGCATATTGGTCTTACCCCTGTATCCCTCTTCCTGTACACCCTCTTCGGTTTCCCCTCCGAAGACATCTCAGTCTACAGTCACACACTTCCACCTCAAAAACTGCATATTGATCACTGTCCATGTCCTCCCCATAGATGCTAAATGTCCCTCCAATACACTCTAGAATAGAATACTAATCTAGCCAGTTTTACACCAGCAGAGAATGTGCATTAACCCATTGATGACCATTATCAAGTGTACGTGCATTAACATCTCAATGGTCAGCCCCAACAGAATGACCTTTCACCCCACAGTCACTTACCCTTAGCTTTTACACGTTAACTCCTAAGTGACATGTCTGGGTGCATTTTCGATCATCCCAGGGCATTTTCATTCCCTAAGCCGTCTGCTTTATGATCATGTGCACAAACCCCTTGTGAGTGTGACCATTATGCAGTGTCTTTGCATTAACACCTCAGTGGCTTGTCCCCAGCATATACGTAAGCATTAACCTTCTAGCCCCAGCTCATGTCCATAGCCTCTCAGTGCCCATTCCTCTACACATATGTGATAATCCCTCAGGACCCGGTCCTCAGCCCATGTGAGGTATCTCCTCCATGCTCAGGCCTCAACCATGTACATTAACCCCTCAGCACCCGGTACCAATCTCATGTAGGTTAACCCTTCAGTACTCAGAACCCAAAGTATGTTTTTTCAGCCTATTCCTCTACTTTAACTCCTTAGCTGCCAGTACCCTGCACATGTGCATTTACTCCTCAGCAACCAGTCACCTGCATGCGCATTATCCTCTCAACAACCTGTCCTCAGTGCATGTGCAATATTCCCTCTAAGCTCAGTGCATGTGTGTTAACCCCTCAGCACCCAGTCTGTGTACTTGTGGGATAATCCCTCACCTTTATTCGCTGCACTTTACCAAATATGGGTCTCATCCCCACTGACCCTGGTCAAATAGTGGCCTCGGCTCCACTGCCCCATTTCCTGCCTAACATTCACTGACAACAAAGCCCTGCCCTATCTCCCATGTCCCCAGTGCCACCTCCACTGTTCCTGGACCTTATAACAAAGTCCTGCTCAAAACCTGCTTTAGGTGTTTTGGGGTCTCCTTATAAACCTCCATTGTCCCCAATTCCACAGAAACCTACTGCCCCGGTCATACCATTTAGAAAATTGTCCTGCATATACTGCCCGCTAAGACACTTCTTTAGTATTGTTAGTAAAATTCCCAACCTTTCCCATTCTGAAATGGGCACACTATTGCTAGTCATATATGGGCCTCCAGTATTACAAGCATAGTATTACAATGCATCTTTATAGACTAAAGAGCCTCTTTAAACACATTGTCTCTTGTTTCTTATAGAATGGCTTTTCGGATCCCGCTCCATCGACTCATGAAAAGTTCTCTTCTCATCTTCATCTTCATGTTCTGCTTGTTTTTATACCTGAGGTCAGATATGGATGACAGACAAGAGAAACAAACCCACATCCTCATCCTATCATCTTGGCGCTCTGGCTCTTCTTTCCTTGGCCAGATATTCAACCATCACCCTAACGTTTTCTATGTCTACGAGCCAGCACGGATGGTGTGGGTTAAATTTCCTCAAGAGAAAGCAAGTCTTCTTCACTACCCAGTTCGAGATCTCCTCCACTCGCTCTTTACATGTGACACGTCTCCTCTACATGACTATCTTCCCCAAAATGGGCGTTACATATCCAATCTTCCTTTTTGGTCAGAGAGCCGGGCATTATGTTCACCACCAGCCTGCAAAGCCTTTTCCATGGATACAGAGTTTGACCGGCCCTCATGCTTCCAACGCTGTGGTTACGTCCCTTTGGAAAAGATGACCCAAGCATGTAAAGTCCACAAACACGTGGTACTAAAAACTGTTCGAGTATTGGACCTTGGCGTTCTTCTTCCGCTCCTCCAGGATGCCAAGCTTGACCTTAGGATTGTCCACCTAGTAAGAGACCCTCGAGCTGTGGCTTTTTCACGGCTGAACTTTAACCATCTAAGGAATGAGGATCTCATAGTGCTCAGAGACACAAAAAACTGGAAAGAGAAAACGGGCACGCCCAACGTCACCAACGTTATGGCCAAGATCTGTAGTGCTCAAGTTGGGATTAAAGAGTTTGGTGAAAAAGACGACATATCTCGGCAAGGATTTTATATGATGGTACGGCATGAGGATCTGTCCATAAACCCCTTGTCAACGGTTGAGAAGATTTTCAGCTTTGCGGGTCTCAGCCTTACTGGACGCTTTAAGGACTGGTTACACAATGTCACTCACAAAAGCCAACCAAAACAAGCTGGTTTCATGAAATTCGCTGAAGACTCCAAAAAGGTCATTCAGAAATGGAGAGGTGGCCTCCAACACAGTGTAGTGTTGGAAATTCAAGAACAATGTCAGAAGGCCATGGAGGTTTTTGGATACAGACCAGTCAGGACATTGAAAGAGCAGCGTGATTTAAACTTCAATGTAATGACAGAAAACAATAATTAGCCCTTAGCAAGCTTTAATGTGAACTTATCACAGATGCGGCCATTTTGTGGGAAGGAGCAATTCTACACCGAATGCAGAAAAACAAGCAGTACAAGGTGGTCTGCCCAACTATTTTCTAAATATATGCTAATGGTTAGCATGGTACCAAAAGACTTGAGTGAGGAAAAACCAGTTTGGTTTCAGAGCCTCAAGGCAGATGTAAACCTAACCAGTAAAATCTCATATAAGCTTTTAACGTGTCAATATACACTCACTGGCCACTGTATTAGGTACACCTCTTCAACTGTTCGTTAACACAAATATCTGCTCAGCCAATCACATGGCAGTAACTCAATACATTTAGGCATGTAGACATGGTCAAGATGGTCTGCTAAAGTTCAAACCGAGCATCAGAATGGGGAGGAAAGGTAATTTAAGTGACTTTGAATGTGGCATTGTTGTTGGTGCCAGACGGGCTGGTCTGAGTATTTCAGCAACTGCTAATTTCCTGGGATTTTCACGCACAACCATCTCTCGGGTTTACAGAGAATGGTCCGGAAAAGAGAAAATATCCAGTGAGTGGCAGCTCTCTGGGCAAGAATACCTTGTTGATGCCAGAGGTCAGAGGAAAATGGCCAGATTGGTGCAAGCTGATAGAAAGGTAACAGTAACTCAAATAACCATTCGTTACAACCAAGGTATGCAGAATACCATCTCGAAACACACAACACATTGAACCTTAAAGCAGATGGGCTACAGCAGCAGAAGACCACACCGAGTGCAACTTCTGTCAGCTAAGAACAGGAAACTGAGGCTACAGTTTGCAAGGGCTCACCAACATTGAAAACCTGAAGATTGGAAAAACGTTGCCTGGTCTGATGGGTCTCGATTTCAGTTGCGACATTCGGATGGTAGGGTCAGAATTTGGGGTAAACAACATGAAAGCATGGATCCACCATGCCTTATATCAACGGTTCAGGCTGGTGGAGCTTCGCATCATGGATATGCAGCCTACAAATCTGCAGCAACTGTGTGATCCTATCATGTCAGTATGGACCAAACTCTCTAAGCCAATGGTTCTCAACATTTCTAGGGCCGGGACCCCTTGGTAACATTTGCCAAGTTGTGTTGACCCCCCCAACCATAAAATTTAGGGATTCACCAATACTGGTATCTGTGTGGGCTCTTGGGAGGCTATGCGGTCTCTCAGGTGGCTAGTGGGACTCTCTGGTGGCATCCAGTGCGGCCTCTGTGGTGCCCAGTGCGGGCTCTGTGGTGATCAAGCACTCACCTCGCCTCTCTCCTGCCTGCTCCCCTCTGGCCGCTGCTGCTGCAGCGCCATCTAGGAGTACTGACACTGCTGCGCTAGGAGGAGGCTGAGGAAACTCTTACCTAGAGCAGCACAAGGGGGGACCCCCTCAACTATGGGTTGCGACCCACTTTTGGGTCGTGACCCACAGGTTGAGAACCACTGCTCTAAGCAATGTTTCCATCATCTTGTTAAATCAATGCCACAAAGAATTAAAGCAGTTCTGAATACAAAAAGGGTCCAACCCGGTACTAGCAAGGTGTGCCTAATAAAGTGGCCGGTGAGCGTAATTCCGAAAGTTGTTTTTTGGAATGCAGCTTTCATTAAAATAATAATTACGAAGGTCCTTGTTCAGGCACTTTCTGTTATATGGTGCCTTCTTGTTATGTCCCTGTGTTGCCACCCTGCTATTGATGGAGACTTCAAGCACACACAGTACGTTGGCATTATCTTCCAGGGGCTGGTCAGCCAGTAGGCTGACTACGGGTCTACTGGCACAGCTCCTATGGGAAGAAGAAGGAATGCAAACTGATTACACCAACACGAATCTGCTTTCATAGTTAGCATGGTCAGCAACCATAGGAAGCCCTACATTGAAGAGGGAACAGGCAGGAACATCAGGTATTTAGTAGACTTTTTAAACTTTGCATATATAAAAAGCTCCAGTATTATGCCGCGATAAATGTCATTTAAGGTTTACTTACACTTCAACAACCAAAGAAACACAACACAATAAACTTTTGTTGAAATGTATTTCTTTTTTGCATGTCAGTCATTTGTAATGCCATAAAAACAACATTCTAGAAGTGTTCCAAAGGTGGATTTTATGTCCATTGAGGTGCGGCTGGGCTCAGCTAAGCGTCAGACTATAAGAATAAAAATGTGCTTGAATCACAAGTGTTCAAATGTTTGCTTATTTTGTGTAGACGAGATCTAAACTTAAAGTGACATTAAACCCTCAGATTTTTTAACATAAACCAATACTGTAATGTGTGCCTTACTGTAATCCATGGTAGATTCCCTTCTCTTTGCTGCCCTTCCTTTTAAATCCTCATGTCTTCTCATGCTCTTCAGAACTTCCTTTTGCAGCTGAGTGCCTCTTCCTGTAGTGCTGGCTCAGGTTACAAGCCTATAGAAACTAATACAAAGACACCGTATATCCATTCCTGAGACAAGGCAGTCTGCTGCAAAACAGAAGTTCTGAAGAGCATGAGAAGACATGAGGATTTAAAAGGAAGGGCAGCAAAGAGAAGGGAATCTACCATGGATTACAGTAAGGCACACATTACAGTATTGGTTTATGTTAAAAAATCTGAGGGTTTAATGTCACTTTAAGACTTTTATTCTGTATTTTTGACATATTATTATATTAGGACTTTACAATGGTTTTTGATCCCCATTTGTCAAGGGGGAAGGATTGATATACAGAACTTCAGACTCACCTGTGACATTGCTCCACACAGTTAAATTTAAAGGAATATATTGTGTTTTCCATGTTTTCTTTACATCCAAGCAATATATTTTTTAATCGTGTTCTAATTAGGTAAATGTGAAATATTGTTTATTAATACATTAGAGTTACCAATGCAACAAGAGGGTGACAAGCTCCAAGCAGGATGCACCCAGAAGTTGGCAAACTCCAAGAAAGATGCACCCAGAAGATGGCAAGATCCAAGCAAGATACACCCAGAAGGTGACAACTTAACTCCAAGCAAGATACACCCAGAAGGTGACAACTTAGCTCCAAGCAGGATGCACCCAGAAGATGGCAAAGCTCCAAGCAAGATGCACCCAAAGGATGGCAAAGCTCCAAGCAAGATGCACCCAGAAGATGGTAAGCTCCAAGCAAGATGCACCCAGAGGATGGCAAGCTCCAAGTAAGATACACCCAGAAGATGGCAAGCTCCAACAAAGATGCACCCAGAAGATGGCAAGCTCCAACAAAGATGCACCCAGAAGATGGCAAGCTCCAAGCAAGATGCACCCAGAAGATGGTAAGCTCCAAGCAAGATACACCCAGGAGATGACAAGCTCCAAGCAAGATGCACCCAGAAGATGGCAAGTTCCAAGCAAGACAAACAGCTTCTTTAGGAAAAGTAATAAAAAGAACAGAATAGATACGATTACACACAGCTGAAGGATACAAAGGAGGGACACAACTCTTCTCTCTATCTAAGCAGATAAAGGACCATAGGGAGTAGTCGGTAATACACAGTTATCCAGGGTGAAGATGCTTTGTGCAGAACCTGGTAGCCTGTCGGATAGGAACCACCTGCCTCTGTTGGCACTTCCTTCCCTTCTCCTTATGGCAAGGAATAATTGGCTTCATGGCCACATGACCCCATTTAAGAAAAAACTTTTTGTTGTGGTCATGCAATGTATGGATCTGACCTGGAGTGAATTGCTTTTTTCCTCAACAAAACTGAACTTACACTTAAATAGGAATGTATAAAGGCAAAAAAAATAACAGTCCGACCTTTAGCGGAAGATTAAACAATGCGCTCACACCGTATAGTAAAAATGTATACTGTAGGTGTATATTGCATTGTAGGTTTTGTGGATATTGGTGACCCCTGGTGGTCAGATTGTGAGTGACGGCTTAATATAGAAGAAACACTGTCCTTATTTGATCCGGCACCATGCAGAAAGGAAATCTGTCCTTTAAAGTAGCTATTAAAAATATATTTATGTATTTTTTCCTGTGGTCTTGGTAATAATATGAATCTCCGACAGCTTTCTGCAGCATTCCATTCACTAAATATATTGCACTTTCAGGGGCCGCACTTAGGTCCCCCTATATAAAGACAGTTGACCATCACTGCTTTAAAGTGAACGGTACTTTGCCCATAATGAACAATGTAACGTTTGCATATATGAAGGCCTATAGTCAAGTTTTTACATTTTTTTTAACTGAATCCACACATTTGGCAACTATAGCACCAGAGAGACTTCACTAATATGCAACAAACATGTCACACGGCCTTCTGGACTGACATTTGATAAGTGATGTTAGTAGACATCTGCAATTCGTTTCATTCCGAATCAAAATTCGTATGCATTTTCCAATATTCAGACATTCGGACACATCCGAATGTCCAAATCCCAATGCATCCGAATCCGAATTTCGGATCCTGTCCGAATTTCGTTCGAAAACTAAACTGAATGGGACATGTGACTTTTCTGGCCAATCAGATGTGTTTTTCAGTTTAATGCCTCCGAATGGGTCTGAACATGAATTTTTCGTTACGGCAACACATGAGCCATATACAGTATAGAGACCCCAATGGCATTCGGGATCCAAATTTCCAAATTCCATCGGGGAGCTCCCGAATACCATTGGGGTCTGGGAGCCTCAGCTTTAGTAATGTATGTATGTGGCTCCCAGACCTGGATGGCATTCAGGAGCTCCCCAATGCAATTTGGAAATTTGGATACTGAATACTAAGGCCCGGTTCACACCTGGGCGTTTTGTAGCGCGTTTGTACGCTCTGCAAAACGCTCAAACACCAAAATCCCATTATTTCCTATGGGTATGGTTCACACCTGGGCGTATTTCAGGCCGTATGAACGCGCTACAAAACGCCCTACACCCAAAGAAGTACAGGAGCTTCTTTGGGGCGTTTTTGTCGCGTGTTTCCATTGTCGCGTGTTTTTTACCGTGAATCGCGCGATAGACGCGCAGCGACAGACGCGCATATTTGATACGCCTAGG